AGGAGGATAACCTAGCAGCTACAAGGGTAAAAAACGCAGCAGATTAGAATTGACAGAAATGGAATTAGTTACTACACATTAAAAAGATTATGTCGATAAGTGCCTTCAAGTTATGGTGGAAGACACCTCAAGACAGAGCCGGACACCTGACAAATTAGGGAAGGGCCATAGCTCAGTGGCAGAGCACCTGCTTTGCATGCAGAAGGTCCCAGGTTCAATCCCTGGTACAGTGGTACCTCAGGTTACATACGCTTCAGGTTACATACGCTTCAGGTTAAAGACTCCGCTAACCCAGAAATAGTGCTTCAGGTTAAGAACTTTGCTTCAAGATGAGAACAGAAATCGGGCTCCGGCGGCGCGGAGGAGGAGCAGGAGGCCCCATTAGCTAAAGTGGTGCTTCAGGTTAAGAACAGTTTCAGGTTAAGTACGGACCTCCGGAACGAATTAAGTACTTAACCTGAGGTACCACTGTATCTCCAAGTAGGGCTGGGAGAGAGTCCCTGTCTGAAGTAATGGAGAGCCACTTCCAGCCAGTGCAGACAGTACTGAACTGAAGAGACCAATGCTCTGACTCAATCTAATGCAGCTGCCTGTGTTCCTAAATTTCAAGTGGGAGAACATTCCAGAGCTGTGGCACCACCACATGAAAGGCTTGGTGGTGTTAGTTTGGAAGGGGAGGATCCCAATCGCCCTCATACAACACAAGAAGGAAAGACGGACTGGTGTTGGCTTTGGCCAGGCCTATGTCTGAAGGAGAGCTCTTGGGCTGTTTCCACAAGCCATTGCCCTGTACACATAATAAACCCTTCTAAACTTGCAAAGGCCAAACCACTTTTCTTGTTTTTACCTTTTTTTACTTGCCCCTCATTTTTGTTATCCTGGCAAAGGTTTGTTCTTGCTACACACATTGGGCTGACCATACCATTAGACAGAATGAGGAGACCGCCTCAGAAGACAGATGCTGAGGGGCAGTAGACCCTCCTCCTCCCTGTTCCTCCTAAGTCTCCAGACCAATCCCTTCTGGCGGTGGGCAAAGCTGTGGAGGCTACCTAGCCTGCTGCTTCCAGGTGTGGTGAAGGAAACTCTGCCATCAACCAGTTTTGAAGTAAGATTCAACCCACATTTTGCTTCTGTGCATAGAATGGGGAGCGGGGCATCTTGCCCTTTACCTTCAGCTGCAAAATGGCCTCGCTTGGGCCAGGCCAGTACACACAGATTATCATAGAGTTTATGATGGTGAAGAAGAGTTGCGTGCATCTCACTTGATCCAAAATATCCTTGATGTTAGATGAGAATCTTCTTACTGCGTTGCCCTAGCAAGCCTAAGAAGCATCATCCGAAGAGAGGTTCTTCAGGCATACATACAGTAAAATGGCTAAATCCCCAGGTTTCTGGGGTTATTCTGGGATTCCTCAAGCCATCTCATCAAGCAACCTATCCTTCTGGCCCCCACCAATCTGGAAATATTTCTGCTGCTGGGGAAAACTTTTTCAGCCGGCAACTACATTTTCAAAACTTATAGACCAGGCCCTTCCCTGCTCTGTATTTTTGAAGCTCCTTGGGGATGCTTAATGCTAGAATATTTACAGCACTAGAGGTTCTGCTGGCTGAAGACATTCTGAGGAGTCCCTGTTTTATATGACAATAAGATGATCACCATTGTACCAAAAGCAAGGTACAAGAACAGTATTTGTATACCAACATGTAATCCTGTAGCTACCCAAAAATAAGAAGGTAGGGACTTCTACTTAGTTGAGAGACCACAAAGCACAGTGGTACCTCGGGTTAAGAACTTAATTCGTTCTGGAGGTCTGTTCTTAACCTGAAACTGTTCTTAACCTGAAGCACCACTTTAGCTAATGGGGCCTCCTGCTGCTGCTGTGCCGCCGCTGCACAATTTCTGTTCTCATCCTGAGGTAAAGTTCTTAACCCGAGGTAATATTTCTGGGTTAGTGGAGTCTGTAACCTGAAGCGTATGTAACCTGAGGTACCACTGTATTTAGAAGTATGTATACTCATAAACTGAAATAGTAACAAACAAGAACTAGCCCTATGATCTTCCAGAAGGTCAGTGAGTACACCAATGAGTACACAGGGTTGTTGAGTTTTTTGTTTTTTAAGAGTAACTCATCTGGAGAGACGACAACATTTTTGTGTTCAAAAATTTTGAACACAAAATACAGCAACTTTTTTGTTGCCATTGTTTTAGTGGGAGTGGAAGAGATACAACATGACTGCCCAATCACAGCTGTACAAAAATCCTGGATTTCACAATTTATTTTTAATCAGCAGGTTTCATTTCTGTCCTAGTGGAGAAAAAAACCCAGGGCCTAAGAGGAGGCAGAAGTCAGGCAGACATGCCATTAAGTCTGTAGCTGAGTGGTTTAAACACAGACTGATGAAGATGTCAGTGGGATGGGTAAAAAAGGAGGGCAAAAGCAGACCAGGAATTTGACATGCTTAAAATACATGGGAGGACAAAGAAAAATTCTAAGATTTAAGGTTCTCACCCTCTGCAGTAGCAGGGGATGGGGAACCTGTACACTTCCTATTTTTAAAAGTACTAAAAACATAAAAAGAGCCTGCTGGGTTGGGCCAATGGCCCATTTAAGTCCAGCATCCTGTTCTCAGTGGCCAGCCGGATGTCTATGGGAAATACACAAGCAGAACCTGAGCCCAAGAGCGCTGTCCCCTCCTGTGGTTTCCAGAAACTGGTATTCAGAAACATCACTGCCTCTGACTGTGGAGACAGAGCATAGAATCCACCATGGCTAGCAGTTGATACTGGGTGGTCTCTCTTTTTAATGCTACCGATAAACTAGTTTTTCACCTATGTTGTCATATTAAGAGTTTTGACATCTCTAGTAATATAATTGCATCTGGCTTTCTCCTACAGATGGCCGCTTCAACCAGCAGGAGTCCCACATGGCTGCCTAGCTCTGAGAACTGAATTCCATAGGCTTTGGGAACAATTGAAACGCCCCGTGGATTCAGTTCTACAGCTAGACAGCAACTAAACTCCAGGAGCTGCCGAGTTCACTCTTTTGTGTTATCTTGTGTGTCATCAAGGGGATCCGTCAAGACACATAACCATAAGCCAATATAGCTGAACGTTTGCCATCTACGTGGATTATCCTTTTTAGGTGGCTCTCCTATTCAAGCAGCTGCATGCATGCACACCCCAAGTTAACCTGGGTGGAGCTAAGGTGATGTTGCCACACCTGCACTTTGACATTATCTTATAATCCACTCACCTCCTCTTTCTACAGAGAAATATCATCAGCCTAAAAGTGACAGTGGGCTCCTGCCCACCTAGCAGTTCGAAAGCACCCCTAAGTGCAAGTAGATAAATAGGTACCGCTTTATAGCGGGAAGGTAAAAGGCGTTTCCATGTGCTGCGCTGGTGCTGGCTCGCCAGAGCAGCTTCGTCACGCTGGCCACGTGACCCGGAAGTGTCTCCAGACAGCGCTGGCCCCCGGCCTCTTAAGTGAGATGGGCGCACAACCCTAGAGTCAGACACGACTGGCCCGTACGGGCAGGGGTACCTTTACCTTTTAAAAGTGACAGTATGATGCAGTATAAGCCCTCTTCTGGGTCCAAAACACCCCACGTGTCACAGTCGTGCATTCTTTGAACACACACAAAATGTGTGTTGCCTGTACTAGCTTAGGGCCCTCGTATCTACAGGACCACCTCTCCTGGTATGACCTGCAGAGGACCTTAAGGTCCATGAATAACCATAGTTTAGAGGTCTCGGGCCCTAAGGAAGTCAGACTATCCTCCACCAGGGCCAGGGCCTTTTCAGTGATGGCTCCGACCTGGTGGAATGCTTTGTCCCATGAGACTAGGGCCCTTCAGGATTTGACCTCCTTCCGTCAGGCCTGTAAGACAGAGCTATTCCGCCTGGCCTTTAATTGGAATTCAGCCTGATCTTTTATTTCCCTTCTCTTCTCTTCCCTCCCCCTCCCCTTTTATGAAATCACCCGCTCTGAGACCCCACAGCTAATTCTCCCCTGGCCTCCTCACTGGCCCAAGTAGGACCAATTCAGCCAGCTAGCCCCGGGGATTATCTAATTGATTTTTGAATTATATTGTTATTCATGTTTTTATACTTTATTTTATGCTGCTTTTATAATTAAGTATTTTAAAGTGTTTTAAATTTGTTGCTAGCCGCCCTGAGCCCGGTTTTTGAACCGGGAAGGGTGGGGTATAAATAAAAAATTATTATTATTATTATTATTATTATTATTATTATTATTATTATTATTATTTGCCAAAACATGGGTGGCATCTCTGTGTAAAAATAGTAGATGAGTGTGTCTATCTGCATACAAGTTAGTCTGAAACCAATGGCTGAGAAAGTTAGCATTGTTAGGTTAAAAGGCAATACTTTAGATGTGCAACCCAAACCTATACATGTTTATTCCCATGTCCCACTGAATTTAACTTTGATCCTTATAATTGTCACTTTAAAAGGCTTCAATCTTATACATGGCCTGAAGGAAAAGCTTGGCCACCCCAATATTGTCCCATGTATGGATCCATATGCTTAATCAAACAGGGTATATTTAGTAAAATTCAGTCTTTAGGCATTACTCTTTTCATACAGCACCATGAACAGTTATCAGGCACCCATCCTTCTGCACCATGAAGCTTACAGAGCTTTCCTATCTGCTCTAAGATAAGTATGTATAGCCACATTAGGGAGGAACTCAAAAGATTAGTGCATGGATCAAAGTCATAGTATTATTATTTGTATTTTACAACTATACCCGTCCTCTTGTTCATTCCTGAACTCTGTGTACTTCTTGAAACTAGCAGAAGAGGTAATCTTATGCTATGCTGTACTACAACATCTGCACTTCACAGTTTGGTGATAAGACAGGAATTATATCCTTTAAAACATGCAGATACCCCACAAATAAACAATACTATTTATGTCAAGCAGTCATTTCTACCCTACTTACAATAAGTTATCACAAAGAAATGTTCACACAGTAAAACATGCTTGTTTTCCTTTATTTAAAATGCTCTATGTCTTGCATATATACAAAGTGCAACCTGATGGCCAAGCAATTGTTCATCTCACTAGGAAAGAATCACAAATGGCTTAAAACATATTACAGAAGGTGGAATTCACAATAGGTTTGTCTGTGCTGATGTTAAAAATAAAGGTACTCTGATCCTATTTATGTATGTTGTGTGTCCATTGTCACAGTGTGACCAGATTTTCAGTATACCATCACCTTGTACTGTGACCTCGGGTTCAGTTTCTGAATAATTCCATAGTGAACTCTATGGACATTTACTTAAAGTAGCCAATGTTTGGCCAGGGGTGGGGGAAGGAAAGAAAGAAAAGAGATCCCTCCAACAATGAGGGGGCAGGAAGAATTTATGGTGCAAAATGGTAATGTACAACTAGGAAGATAATGTGCCTGAAATCCATAGTCAGTTTTTATAAGTAGATTTTTGGTTGATCCAATTGAAAGGCTGCACTACTGGCATTCATTTGGAGTGACTCAAAAAAAGAGCAGGGGTTGACAAAATGAGCAACATCTTCCTATTAGCACAAGAGAAAAGTATGTGTGCACATTAGTGAGTATACAACAGCTACTAAGAAAGTTATTGGAACCTATAAAAATGTCACAGAAAAATCTCTTTCAGTTTTCGGTATCATTGCCGCCAGATATTAGGTCTAAACAGAGGGATACATGTTCAGTCAGTATTATTTGAACCACTTTCATTATCTCTTTGATTTCTTTTTCTTCTTCCTATTGCGGTCTTCACTGCTATCCTCAGCTTCACTAGCAGTTGGGGTAGGTTCGTTTCGGATGATTCTCTTCTCTACCCTGTATTCTTGTTCTCCAACTCTAGGGTCCCCTTTCACAATAAATTCCCCACTGTGGTATGTTATGGTAACATCCGTCCTTGGATAGGTGCCATAGACCCTTCTGAGATCGTCTTTCACGAATTCCGGCAAGTCCCTCCTAGGTCCCACAATCCTCTCAAGCTTGCCCCAATGGAGCTCTCCTCTCAAGGTGAATCCCTCAGGCCACGCATCCCAGCCTGGTCTTTGGTAGGCTGCATAAGGAGGATAGTTAGCATAGGGGTTGTACAGAGGAAGAGGGCTCACTTGGGGGTAGTACCAGAAAGGGTAAGGATAGAAGTTAGGATTTGCACCATGGATGTGATGGTACTCCACTTGGTTTGCTGGATTTACGTTGTAACCATTGTTATTGTCCATAATCACAGCAAGAGGCCTGTTGTAGAAGTTGTGCATCTGGACTGGAGGGATCATGGGGGCGTGTGCAGTGTCTGATGGTCGACTTGGCCCAAGAGGCAGATAGTTATAAGGAAAGGTCTGCATCATAGTTGGATAGTACAGAGCCATACTAGGAGGAGGTGCATACAATTTCTTCTCAAGCAAGCATCACTTTCTCACATCTGGTTCCTGCCAAGCTGTTGAGACAAATGTAAGAGGTGCTGAACTGCGGCAAAGGCAAATGTGCACAAGCTGATTCATTACAAAAGTTTACCACCGCTTGTGGTAAAGCTACATATTTAGCTACACACTTTCGTTATCTGTCCTCATGGGCCTGCAGAAGCTGAGTCAAACTGAGAGAGGCTTGCTGTTCTTTTAAGAGTGTGATGCATACCAGGATTTATCACATGCCTGGCCACACAAGACAAACACACACTTCTTAGAAACAGAGCTTTCACAATAGCATGTGCCTTAAACAATATACTATAATACTTAAGTGGCTTTGGAACCCGTTGGGACAAGCCTTGCCGACCCATAATGGTCTTGCCGGATAAGCAGAAACTAGCAAGCTTCAAACCGCCGCCCCCCCCTACAGAGTTTTATAAAGCTGTCTATTTACACTCTCCTGCTTTGCCAGAGATTGCTGCAAGGCAATTCAAATAGATACTTCATTTTATGCACATCAGAGAACGTGATTTTAAAAGTATTTTCAGGCCTTAATAAATTGAGCCAGGACAAGACAAGTAATTATCTGGGTGTCTGCCAAAGTGTTCTACTACCACTAAAAACAGTTTTATTTGTAGAATTATTTATAGGCTGCCTTTAGGGCAGGCATCCCCAACCTTTGGCCCTCCAGATGTTTTGGACTTCAATTCCCATCATCTCTGACCACTGGTCCTGTTAGCTAGGGATCATGGGAGCCAAAACACCTGGAGGGCTGCAGGTTGAGGATGCCTGCTTTAGGGACACAGTCCACCCAAGGCCAGTTTACCACTCATAAGCACACTATAATTCAAAATTCAAATTCAAAAACAATTTTAATACCAAAATATTTAAGAACATAGGTCAATCAAAATGAATGATCAGCAAAATAAATTCCTAGAAAATATAAATGCTTTCTATTATCAAACAGCTTTCTAAAATAACAGTCTTGATGAAGCAGCAGTAGCCCAAAATATAGACCACTTTAAAATTTGAAAAGTTTGTCCATTCCTCGTCTCTTTGGGGAGAACTTCCATAATGTCAAGGTCACTGCAATAATATATCACCCTGCAAAGAGCACCCTTATAGCTTCTCCATTTGGATGTAGCAAATGAGAACCAACTCCATCTCCTGGTACTAACAAGGATGACCATCAGAAGTTGAGGAGCTGCTGCTGCTGCTGACATAGATCTGCCTCAGGATTACGACAGCCAGATGAGGACAGCTATAACATTTCTGCCCCTCTCGTTGTCCACAGTGTTATTTAAAATCAAGGAGAAAAGATACCTTTTCAGCTAATTAGATATCAAAATCCAGTCACTTCCAATATGAAAATCAAACAGATTTGAACAGACCTAAGACCTGAAGCCAATACTTTTGCCCGATTGTTTACTCAACTTTTCACCTGCTTCAAGATCCTATAAATTTAACCCTCAACAACATGCCCTGATTTCTTCTATCTCTCCCCTTTCACACATGCCGTCTCCCTCCTACCTGATAATTCCACTTTGGTCTACAAAATTTACAAAGTATTCAAAGTCTGTGCCCTTTAAGTTTCCTAGGAAGGAGTAGGAAGAAGGGATTCCATGAGACTGAAGCCAGTTACAGTGCTAGCAACTCCTGGGGTGGCACACCAGCAATTGCTGAACATTTAGTGTCTCTGGCACAGCCCGGGAGGTAGGCAAGGAACATAATTAGCTGCCTCTTTAGTCCTCAACGGTTCTCTCCCTTCAAGCTCAGATTTCAGGCTTTGTTGTTGGGAGAAAAGAACACAGAAATGGATAGCAACCAGGTGCAGACACTTGAATGGGGGGGTGGGGGGGACCCAGCTGGGAGAGTCTCAAGGGCTCCACTTACTTTGCTCCCCCTTGGTGTTTTTTTTAGCAGAAGCTTGGTCCCTTGCTGCAGGGATTCAGGCACAACTCTTCCGAAGAAGAGGCAGGCTCTATTGTAGTAACCACGCTCCTAGCACCGACCAACTCAGGCCATGTTCCAAGGAAGAATGGTTTCTAGGCAGACAGCAACAGGCACAGGTATGACGCATAAATTCAGGTAAGAAGCATAGGCTCAGCCTCCTCCCCTATCTATGGCTGTGCATACCTTTGTGGCTTAAAATGCAGTCAGGTCACTTCTCCCTGTTGCATTTCAAGTGACGTTGGCATACTGCTGAACACACCAGAGAGGGTGGGGATGTCTTCACCAGATGCACATTACCTATTTGCTTTCCCCATGCCTGCAACGCCCCGGAACTGCTCCCCATTAAACTATCATCTGCACACAAGCAATAGCTATCCCAAACCTCAGCTTAACTGTGCAGTGAATATAGCTTACAATTTCAAATTGGATGGCTGCTGGCTTGATGGAAAACACATCAAACTGCAGTATTTCTCAAGAAACTACAGGATATATATGGCATATACCAGGCATCGGCAAACTCCGGCCCTCCAGATGTTTGGGACTACAATTCCCATCATCCCTAGATAACAGGTCCAGTGTTCAGGGATGGTGGAAATTGTAGTCCCAAACATCTGGAGGGCCAGAGTTTGCCTATGCCTGGCATATACACACAGCTTCAAACACCAATACACCAGAGACTGAGGAGGCTCTGGTCAGTGTCTGGTTATACCTATCAATGTATGCTGTTAACAATAAACCAGTGTCTGTGCTTCCTGAGTGTCTAAGGATACCCCTGGCTCTCTTCTACGGTATTTTATTAATGCATTAAGGTGTGTGTTTTATTTTTTAAAAGTTGAGAAGTATATTTAAAAAATATGATTCCCCTGCCTGCAGTCTATTACCTCATCATTCAGCAAGGGATTGGCCCAAGCCAAGGAGAGTTGTGTTCTCCCATGATTTTAGCACTGCCACAGCTGGAGCACAAGCTGGACCTCCCCAAAGAGGAGAGGGCATAAGCTTCTCAACTCTGCTTTTTGTCTCTTGAATAGATCCCCAGAAACAGGCATCTCATTACACAGATGGCCACACACTGCTTCTTCACTTTTCTGTCTCTGGGCTTGATGCACAGCTCACACACATTTTTAAAAAGTTTCCCCCTCTTGCATGACTGTATGTTCATCATTAAGTCTGAGCAGATTAAACCATCTTTCTTGATTGACCAAGACTCCCCCTGGTAGTTCTCACCCCCCAAATCCCCCCACAAACCTTCTGTTGCCAGCGTCTCATATGTAGCAATTTTGGATAATTTAAAAAGGTAGAGACAGAAGTTACTATCAACTGAAGGGCAGTCTTCATTTTCCTTTGCAGTTATCAGTGGTGGACTTTTTTTAAACAGGTGTTGTTGTTTTTTTTAAAAAAAGTTCTTTGGGGCAATTCTTAAATTTGTGGGAGTTGGCGTCACACACATATTCCCCCAAACCTGATAGTATAGAAAGAAAAACACAGCACCATTTGGCAAGTCAAGGAGTTAAGGATGAAGTTACACAGCTGAATGGTTTCCAGAAACAAGCTTACAAACTGCAGTTCATCAGAGTAATGACTGAACAAACAAGTCACAGCATTAGTAGCATGCAAGAAGCCTCATCTACCAGGCCAAATAAAATAAATACAACCCAACATAAACAAAGACCAGAGGCCTGCAGCCAAGGTTTTGGTTGATATGTATGCACATAATATCCCCTACCCACTGGGTGGGGGGAGAAGGAACATCTTCCTTCCCCTACTGTCTGGGTTCACCCATCTTTCTGTCCCTTAAGATCTTAACCTTTAGCACCACTGTTTTGCCTCGTCCTCTTAATCCTATTGCCTTCCTCAAAGATCCTAACCACCAACAGTACTTTTCCCTTATCTCTCCTCCCCTCACCACTCCTGCCAGCTTCCTCATATATGCATCCTCTCCCTCCTGGTGCTGTTGATAGCAAGGCTTCCCAGCCACAGGTGCAATACAACAGGAGAGAGCACTCAAATTAGAGAATGTATTGTTGTGGGAACAATGATCTAGTATATTTGTGAGGTGTGTGAATTTGTTCTCATTTTTCATCTCCACCAAACCACATAGATTATACAGATGCTTGGATACTTGCCTAACACTAGAAGTGGGGGGGGGGGGGTTGAAGGCAGAGAAAAGAGATGATGTTTCAACATTTGCTTACTCTGAAGTGCACCAGTTAGTTTACATTGATGCAGGAAGCTCAGATTATACATGCCATCATGTCTGCTGATGTTTTAAACAGCAAGCTATTTACACTACATAAATGCAATTTAAATCTGTGGGACTACTCAAGTGGGCGGTATAGATTGTAGTGCATCTTGCCATTGACTCTGGAGTCAAAGCATTTTCTAAACTGAAAAGCTGAAAGACAAAGTTTTGAGACTTCTTGCACACAATAGTGGGAGATACAGGTGACTGACCAATAAAACGCCAATTTAGAATGTTTCTGATATATGCTAATGTCACTTGCTAAGATCTACCCAGGAAACAGGATCAATAGTTAAGGAGAACATGGTTTCTCCATCTTTAGGAGAAAAATAGAGGGTGTGTGTGATTCATTCCTATATGATAAACTACACCTGTCAAAGTGCCATCTTCTACACCATGGGTCAGCAAACTAAGTTCTGCGGGCCAGATCAGGCCCAATTACCTTCTGGATCTGGGAATTGCCGCGGGGATTGCCAGCGCGTGCGTTCTTTCCCTCTCTCTCTCCCTCACACGGCGGCGCCTCCTCCCTCCCTCCTCCCGGCTTCTCCCCGCCCTGCCTAGAGAAGAAAGGGGGTTGGGCTTTGTTGGTGCCAGCAGCAGCGGCACTTGAGCAGCTGCCATTTTAAGCAGCCCCTCTCCGGAGCTCTTTCGCACGCCGCTCATCGTCCCCCCTGCCGCCAGCCCCTTCTGCTCACAAGACACAGGTAAGCAGCCACCGGGGCTTGTGGTGCTCTTGCATCATCCCCCCCCCCCAAGATATAGTCTGGCCCCCCACAAGGTCTGAGGGACAGTAGACCTGCCCCCTGGCGAAAAAGTTTGCTGACCGCTGTTCTACACAACTTTTTGATGTTGAGGAACACAGGAAGCTGCATTATACCAAGTAAAAAGCACAGATCCAGCTACCTCAATTTTGTCTACTGACTCAAGCAGCTCTCCAGGATTTCAGATAGGAGTCTCTTACCTTACCTGGAGACGCACAGCATTGAACCTGAGACAAATGCTCTACCACTGAGCTATAGCCCTTCCCAGGCCTGTCTTAAGCATATCTGATGCTGTGTTGCAAATATACCTCTGCCCCCCCCCCGTTTCCCAAAGTTGTTGACCTTTTTTCCCAGAGGTTTCCCAGGGAGCTGACACCACACTTACACATTATCTCATTATCTCTAACAAGCCCTTAGAACAAAATAAAATGAAGAGGCAGAAGAAAATCTAATGAAGTCTGCAATTCCAAAGCAAGACTCATTCAAGACTTAGCAGTTCTTCTAATTCATCCTCATGATTCAAATCACCACGTGTCAAAAAGCTAAAGCAATCACCAGTTTGTTGTTCTTTAAATAAAGTGATAAAGACACAGAGAATGAAGTTCCCGGCCAATTTGTGTTTAAGTACAAAGCTGACGTTTTCAAATATTGTGGGGGGTGGGGGGGGTGTAAAGCAGTGACATCCTGAACCTAAAAAGGACACAAAACTTGGGTCACAAAGGCTGCAGCCCTAACTGCACTTACCTGAGAGTAAGCCCTGCTGAATCTAATAGGACCTTAAAACTCCTCCCTGTCTTTAAAGGACTTTTTGTTGGTGTTTGTTTGAGAGAGCATGCTCTCCACTAACTGCATGGAGAGCATGCTCTCGAGTCCATCCTTACCTCCGAACTGAGTCCTAATGGTAGTGCGCGCCCCCCCCCCCTTCAGCTTTCCCCTCCCACCGCCCCAAATGAATCCCTCCTCCACCTTTTTCCTTGAAGGAAGGGGCGGGGGGAGACGTTCTCAGCACCCCACCCTGTCCTCTCTTTCCCCTGCGCTGGGCAGCTTGAGGCTCGCTTGCCGCGCAGGCTTCCTCAGCAGTCCCACTACTGCCGCAGGGCGGGCAGGAGGGAGAAGGGTGCAATGTAGCTTTGTGCGCCGCTGCTGTTGCCTCCTCTCCCAGGCAGGAAGCGAGAGAGCACGGCTGGCCGTAGGAAGAGCTGCTGCCGCTGCCCAACGTGCCCTCGCAGCTCTTCCTGGTCGGTCCCAGACTACCGCTGCTGGGTTCCCCTGATGGACGGGCGCCGTGGCGCAGGGCGCCACTGACCCTAATGGATAAGATGGCCCTGGCCCTTCCGCAACAAATCTCCCCCACCCCTTTGCCTCTAGTCGTCATAGTTTGAAACAAAATCAACACAAGTTGATTCTTTTATCCATTACAGTCCAGAAAAAACTACTGGTTCACCTTATTGTTGCTTCCTTTTTTCTAGCCGCCTTTAGCAGCTATATGAAGTTTTCTCCATTACCACATATACAGGTCGGGAAGATCTGCTGCTGAATATGTGGGTAGATTATAACTGTTAAGAGAGACATAACAATTCCTCCTAGAAAAGACTAAGAAAGTTATTTTTTTCTAAAAAGGCTCTTCTTAACTATATTGCTATGAACTTGGGAGTCCTGGTTGCAAAGTTCAGCTCAACAATGTACTCAGTAGGGAGCCATAAGAAAATTATAACGTTTTAATATCTGTAGTCATGAAATAAGAATTGAGACCTACCTTGTATAATTGTAAGACCAAAGTATATCAGAGAGCTTTGTATTAAAATTAATACCTAAAACTACTATTTTCTGATTTGCTAAAATATTACTTAATGAGATTTTCCACTAGATTTTCAATTAACCAGTATTAACCATGCTATTCTTCCACCTAATGGTAACAAGTACATACACCTTTTGCTATAACATTGTAACTGAACAGCTTTGTAAGTGTAATCACCTAGGTCCTCTTGTTACTTTTAGCTAAGTAGCTGCCATTAGCTAATTTTATCAGCCACATTAAGCAGCTGAGGTAATTTAGCTATCTACAGTTATTATGCAAAGAAGGAACCAATTAACATATGAACAATATAGATGAAGCTCCAGAAAAAGGTGTTATTTCATTAGCCTGTGACTATTACCTGATTAATGCAACCTTTTAATGGCAGGTTTCTTATTATCCTTCAATATTATTTGTTAGACTTTGCAGTGTGGATCAAACCTGTAGCATTCACATGGATAAAAATAAATAATGCTCCTTTCTTGCAAAGGAAGACTGCATATAGACTGCAGTAATCCTGTGAAGAAAAACAAATGCCAAAAATGTATTTTTTTTCAGGTTTGTGATACCTGGTGTAAACAGTAAAATGTTTCACTGATCATGTGACACTCTTTATTTCATTCCAATTATCTATGCCTACTCAGAAGTATGTGCTGTTGAATTCAATGGATCTTACTCACAGGTTGGGCTTGAAAG